ACCACGCTAAGAAAAGCGTGTATGGTAGGTGCCCTCTTTCGAGGACACCGCGGCCGTGTAATCTTTGATCCCCCACCATGCTAAGAAAAGCGTGTATGGGTATTTTGAAAATATTTTGCAAGAAAATATTTTTTTTTTGAAAATATTTTGCAAGAAAAGAACAGTTATTTCCCCGCAAGAGAGTACTTATGGGTATCCCCGCTTCGTCTTACGCATCGCACCGGGTTCCCATCCCACCACGCTAAGAAAAGCGTGTATAGGCGAGGAAATCCGTGACGATACGAACTTCGAAGAAGGGATTAGGTGATTACCCGCTTCGTCGCAAGCGTCGGGACGCACGTCCTTCCACCACGCTAATAAAAGCGTGTATAGGTGGTCGTTTTGTCTCGACGAATGCGTTGAAACAGGTTCTTGGAATTTTAGGGTTTAGAAAGGTCATACCTTGGCGGCCGACAGCGTGTGGATCGAGGCAAGAGAGAAGCATTTTTTTATAAATCAATTTTAATTAATTATAATTAATCACTCTTAAAATTAATTAGCTGTAATTAACAAAAGTTAGTTTTAATTAGTAATACTAATAAGAATCCCTCCCCTCCATCTCTCTGTTTGCTGGATTCGGCTGAAGGAGCGCGTCTAAGGGAGAAAGTTACCTGCCCAGCTAGCGAGCTCCTGTTCTTGCTTTAGATCAAAATGTCGGAACTTCCGATCCACACAGGAAGGGAAGTGTCGTCGAAGGAGCGAAACCCAGCAGCCGTGAGGGGATCGGGACGACAGAGCTTGGAGGCTCGGTGGAGGTAGGTTCTCTCTCTCTCTCTCTCTCTCTCTCTCGGCTTGTGCAAGGACCGGCACAGGGCTTGGAGGAGGAAGAGGCAGCGACGGGCTTGAGGAGGAAGAGGTCGTGTGTGGAGCGAAGTCGGAGAGCTTTCGTGTTTGTGGAGTGCTGTCCCGAAGGCTTCCTTCGTTCGGTATTTAACAATGAGAACGGGGCAGCGATCGAGAGCTTCATACGGGAATCCCGCGAGGAGACGTTAATGGCGCCGAACTACAGTCCTTTTATGGGATTTCTGGCAATATTCGTGAATCCACCGATTTCCCTTTCTTTCTCCTTTGGTTTCTTTTACAGAGGTCAACAATAGGTCTTTAGATCTTCAAATAGAGGTACTTGTTAATTAAAAAAATGCACTTTTTTCCTTTTCCTTGAAAATTTGGTAGCGCCTCCTAAAGTTCCCTCGCAAAGGGAGTGAGGGAGGGAGGGCACTTGACCTTTCAATTCGCCTGACCAAATATGATTTAATGGTTGAGAGCTTTGGGATACTGATTAGTTTTGGTTATGGGTGTGAGTCAAGTGTGAGACGGCTCAAGCTCGACTCTATAATTATCTTGTGAGCCAAGCTCGATGAGCTAACGAACCAAGCTTGAGCTAGTCCCGACTCGACTCGGTAGCTTATGAGATAGCTCGTTTAAAAATATTAATATAAAATATACTTAAAATATATTAAAATTCAAAATTTTAAGTACAAAATTATTGAAAATATTCGAAAATTATATGTCAATTTCTTATATTAAGTGTTTATTTATTATTTTTCTTATAATATCTCTATTTTTCTATCATTTTATTATAATAATTGCTTAAATCATAATTATTTTCCCTCATTCATATTAAATTAGCCGACTCAAACTCGTTGAATAATGCTCGAGCTCGAGTTTGAGCTCGATTAATTAATCAAGTAAGCTCAAGTCAGGGGTGAATCGAGCTCGGCTCGACTCGACTCATCTCGTTTATACCCCTAGTCCCTGTATAGGTCTTCATGTTAAGATAGTTTATTATTTATTTATTGAAAGCGCTACATATAATTTTTTGAAAATTTGACAGTCTCTCGGTGTTCCCTCCTTGCAAAGGGAAGTTGGGAAAGCACTTGCCCTTTCAAATCTGCCCAGCTGGATAGGATTCAATGACCTAGGACTTCGGGACATTGATTGGTCCCAACAAGAATCTTTGACGATCCCTGTTGCGATACCTATACAGACACACACACACACACAAGCTTGCCATGCACGCATCACACAACACACTCACTAGAAGGAGTCGGAGACTAGGTCGCTTGCGGATCATGATTGGGTAGTCGAGTTGGAAGCTGCTTGGCAACTGAGTCGGATCGGAGTGGGCTGGTGAGTGTGGGTGGACGGGTCGACTGATTGAGTCAATTGGGGTAGGGTTGGAAGTTGGAGCGTGTGGATTTCGATGGGCCGGTTGGTGGGTTTGGTTGTGCGGATTGATGCATAAGGGAGAGAAATTGGGATGGAAGAGGGAGTTTGGGAGGTTTGCTCATGTGTGTTAATGAAGGATCGGGCAAAATGCTACATGTTGAATTGTTGGATTGGTCGGGTCAATCATATGGCGGGAGTTGGTGGATTGGGATCAGAACGAACATGGGATGGACAAGGAGTGCGGAGAAGGGAGTTCAAATAGGAGTAGAGCAGGTTCCTTCTGCGTGTCTCTGAGTTCAAATCAGAGAGGGCGTGTGGGCTAGGGTGGTTTTGTTCCGTGAGTGGTTGAGTGGGAAATTTGAGTCGAATTTGTCTCGACGTCGATCGACTGAGTTGATCGAGCGCGATCGAGCCTAGTCGGGCTCGATCGGGGTCGGGTCGGTGCGAAAATATTCGTCAACAGTGGGTGGTTGGAGGTCTATGAGTAACAACAACAGTTTTTCGAAGGTGATAAATTTGAAAGTAATCTCAGCTCATAGAGAGCAGATGTCTAGTCGAGTTTATCATTTTGATTCATTCTCAAACGATTTATCACTGGTAAAGACGTAACACGTGCCCTCTAATAAATGGTTTTGTTGTCATATGGTATCATTGACGAATAGTTACGATTGAGGCCCTCTAATCGAATAGTTTATTTGTGGAATGATACCATTAAATTATGATCATGATTAAAACTTGTATAATCCTCAATGGCTAAAAATCTTTTGAATAATGAATTACATGGTGGCATGGTGCTTCCAATGGGAACTTACACTAAACTCAGCCCCCGCAAAATTGGACCGTTCCCTGTTCTTAGAAAAATCAATGACAATGCCTATGTCATTGACCTGCCAGCTGAAATACACACTTCATCTACCTTCAACGTGTCCGATATCCATTCCTATCATCCCCCTGATGACGCCAATACTATATTAACCTCGCCGGAGACGAGTTCCTCTGAAGAAGGGGAGAACTGATGGGACCATAAACCGCTACAGGCTCTCAGCCACACTGGCTGTTTTACTCTTGGCACACAATAATGTTACACACACACCCACTACCTAGTTACTGCTTTATTTCCCTTCTTTTCCCTAAGTTCGTTATTGGCAGAAGTAGTGGCTGCTATATAAGTATTTTTACAGCTCACTACAGGGAATACAAGAAATATACTTCTACCCAAAATTACTGTTCTATTGCCTGTTCTTCCTTCATTTTCTTGCAGGTCCTTCGCTCGGTGATCGGCGGAACCAGACTTTCTCCTCGCGGGTAACGGGTGAGTCCGTCAGATCTTTTAGTCAGATTGGGTCAACTATCTCTTTTAACAAGTAGAGTAGGGATCACGACAACTTGGGATGATGAAACTATATGATCTTGATTGGGTTCATCATCATTCCTTCAATCATCTGCTTTAAATATATAATTGTAAATTTTTAATCCCAATACCAAATTTGTTGCTATTATACGTTAGGTATTTAACGCCTCTCCAATGACTAGCTTTAATTGGAAGTTCTCTCTCGTCACTGGGAGGAGTAATTAACCATAGGGGTTTAAGCCTATAAAAAATTGTAAACTAGATCATAAAGTCCTAATGAAATAAGAGTGAAATCTCTGCATAATATCTTATCTTATATCTAATATGTCTTATAAAAATTTGATCAGAAATATATCCTAAAACTCTTCTAGCAAGATACTAGGGCATGAATTTTTGGCACCCACAATTCATGATATACATATGATTTGTGAAGGATAAGGTTGTGGGAAAAATTTCAAGAGTTTGTAACAAGGGCATGGCGTGAGATCAAAAGATTTGATGGAAAGAGAGTTAGGCCATCTTCTATTAAGGCATCAAAATCAAAATACACATTAATTCGTGAACTTTGACTTTAATATAATTAATGAGAGTGAAGACTTGGTGGACTTTTGATCCTTTAATTTCATGAGTTGAGGAATAACTAGGGAGGTAAGGAGAAATGAGTGATGAGATAAATGAATTGCTTAAAGGGGGAAGGGGTGATCGTAAAAAGAGAGAAAGAAAGAACATGAAGCCTTGGAGAATAGGAGGAACTTTGATATCAATCGATCTAGAGCATGACACCAAAAAATGAAGCCTTTGATGGGCTTTATTTGTTGAGAAGCAAAGAGTAAAATGTAGAGGAAAATTTGGTGAGTCAAACAGAACGAAGAGATTGAGAAGAGATAAATGAATGCCTCAAGTAAGCGAGGCAAGGGTAAAAAATTAGAAAAATATAATCTCATGACTAGAAAAAAGTGGGAGGATTTCATCTCTAGAGATTATGTCAATGAAATGTCATATTCATAATCGACCATCTTCAATTATATCCTAGGGCCTACTATTTATGCAGATATGAATACTGTTATTAGACAATCTAATCCTAATAACAATGAAAACATGATTAGCATGTCTATCATCACAAGTGATCAATAATCCTAACATATAACAAAATATTAAATCGGGACAATGACTTCAATTTGACATTAAATTTAACTGAAAATTTTAGCATAAACATAGATTCAGGGCTGATAATTGACGTAGAAGTCTCCATTACAAGTATTTGGGATTAGTTTGATGGTGTTGACTGAATTATAGATTCACTCAGTAATTTTGTTAGAAGCTCTGCCATTATTGGTGTTTTCTTTGTTCATGAAGTGGGATCTTGTTCCATCATAAATTGGCATAACAACATGAGCATCCTCATGTATTTACCTTTTTCAGTTTCTTATTTTTATTTCAGACGTGGAGATTCATACATCATAAATGGAAGGAAGTGGTGGACAAGTGGAGCAATGGACCCGAGATGCAAACTTTTGATAGTGATGGTTAGTAAAGCTTCTGTCACAGCAAATATTCATGTGCATATCCCTTGCATTGATCTAGTTTTGACTAAAAATTTTATGCAAACCATCTTCAGGGGAAAACAGACTTCACTGCTGCCAAGCATGAGCAGCAATCAATGATTTTAGTAGACATCGACACCCCTGGAGTTCGTGTAGAGAGACCATTGATGGTATTTGGTTTTGATGATGCTCCTCATGGGCATGCAGAAGTATCTTTTGAGAATGTAGAGGTGCCAGTTGAGAATATCCTGTTAGGAGAAGGTAGAGGATTCGAGATAGCTCAGGTACAGAAAATCATCTTCTTTCTGACATTTTGTTGAGCTGCATCAAACAGAGCCTTTTTCTTCTTCTTACATTGATATTTTCATTTTGCAGGGTAGGCTTGGTCCTGGTAGGTTACATCACTGCATGAGACTAATAGGCGCTGCAGAACGAGGCATGCAGCTGATGGTGGAAAGAGCTCTTAAAAGGAGAGCATTTGGAAAAAGAATTGCTGAACATGGTTCATTTTTGTCCGATCTTGCCAAGGTAGTTTAAAATTTTTGCAAGGCTCAGCAAAATAAGGTTGATGTGTTTCTTTTTTTTTTATATTTTCTTGTTTTCATTAATTTATTTCAATTATGTTCTCATCGTCATATAGAATGCATCTTTTGATCTGTGTTAGATCCAAATATATTTTTGGGAAGCACCAATGCTTTATTAGCAAACATAAAACTAGCCTAATATAGGAAGAGAGAAATTCTGAGAATTTCACTAGTTCTCTATAAGAGAATAAAGTTAAAATGTGATATAAATCACAATCAAAATGCCTCAGGCTTATTCTCTGACTGTTAATTTATAGTTTAATTTGATCAACACTAGTAAAATGACATAAAATATATCGAATTCTTTCTACTTGATATTTGTCTTTGTACTTAGATAATTCTTGATGAGTTTGTCTTTGTACTTAGATAATTCTTGATGAGTTCACAAGTTGAGTTTGATATTTTGAGTAACTGGAGAATGCCATACCGAGTTCTCTTGGCGAGTTTAATAGTGAGCTCTCTTGGCTAGCTTATTCTAAATGGGCGATTAGCTTTAGATGATTTGATGCTTTAGTTGCCAACTTTTATAGGCTACTATATTCTTCTATTATGGCGACTTAGGCTTCGTTTGGGACGGCTTTTATAATGCTTTCTAAAACGGAGTTTTAATAAATTTTTTTTTTTTAATTTTGTACTAAAACTCCGTTTTAGAAAGCAATATAAAAGCCGTCCCAAACAAAACCTTAGTTTAGTGGCGAGTTGATCTTAACGACTTTAATAGGATGTTCCTTTTGGTGACTTAAATAGTGAATTGGTTCGAACGTCTAATTACTTACTGAACTTAATTTCATGATTGCAGCATAACTTGATGAACTTGACCTAGATGGCATTGGATGTACACTTTTTTTTTCTTTTATTGCTAACAATTGTAATTTGCTTTCTTCAATATGGTGCAGTGCAGGATAGAACTAGAACAGACAAGACTCCTGGTTCTTGAAGCTGCTGATCAACTTGATAGATATGGGAACAAGAAAGCTAGGGGAATACTTGCCATGGCCAAGGTAACATTATGAATTTTTTGTTTTCTATTATGACAGACTTGGAAATTATGTAAAAACTACTACTGGTGCAGGTTGCAGCTCCAAACATGGCTCTCAGAGTACTTGACATGGCCATGCAAGTTCATGGAGCTGCTGGATTGTCCTCTGATACTGTTCTTTCTCATTTGTGGGCTACTGCAAGAACCCTAAGGATTGCTGATGGCCCTGATGAAGTTCATCTGGGAACAATAGCCAAGCTGGAAATTCAAAGAGCTAAGTTATAGGAATTTCACATGTCAAAGAAGTTCTTTCAATGGAGTTATTCCTATTCATCTGGAAATAAATGACATCTCAATGAGTTTTGTTTTAATAAAAAATATTACTAGATCAAGAGATCTTTATGTGCGCTTACTGTTACTGAGAGATTGCTGAGTGCCACTTCAACAATATGCGCATCTCGTTTGAAACCTGAAGAACTCTTATTCTGTCTGTACTATTTTATTTTTTTTACTGTTTGCTCATCGGCTGTAATTGGTTCCTTCAAGCAAAATACAGGTGCGAGCGAGTTAAAGCATAGAATAAAAATTAAAATTGTACTGTAAATTATTTAATTTAAAAAAAGTTTCGTTGAAAGGAGAACTACGGCGGTTGAAGACATTAGTGCTTCCGTTTAGTGCTTCCGTGTGAGTCGCTCAACCTGCCCGATGCAAAAAAAAAAAAAAAGAAACTTATTAATTAAGGGTATACTTTTTAAAATGTATAAATTTGATTATTATATTATTTAAAATACATTAAATCTTTAATAATTAGGTGAAGAAAAGTATTTGAAATGAATTTTTATATTAATTAAAATAGAAGTCCTCAATTAAATGATATATTATGTTGTAGGTAAATACTAAAAAATGTGTACAAATGGTCCAATAACACTAGTTATAATTCAAACATATTATGACTGATACATTATAGTGCAATAACAATAGAATTGAATGTGCATCGTTTGCTTTATAACCTATAATTACAAACGATAAATGCATTCAAATCTAAATTATATATATGTGAAGTTCCACCACATACAAATCAAATAGTAGAATGTGCTGGGAATAGTATGTTTGAGGAGCACCCTTTTTCAAAAAGTTTTTTTTTTTTTTTTGACATTAGGTTTAGGAGTGTAAATATTTGACATGACCCAAAAATATGATTTAAAAACTCTATGTTATGGTCAACCTATTTCACAAACAGTTTGAATTCTAGGATTCAACTCGTTTGAAAAAACAGTTCGTGCCCAGGTCAACCTACTAACCCGAACTTGACTCGAATTAACCTGCACAGGCGTACATCAGTTCACTTTTCCTCTTCTCCCACATTTTAGTTCGGAGGTTCCGCTTGCAAGCCCTAACCGACTAACCCGTCCCACCCGCGTGAGTCTGCAAGTCCAACCCAACCATCTCTTGGGATAAGACACTGCAAACGACTGCGGGCTAGGGTTTGCTTTTCCTCTTCTCTTGTAGTCCCCGCTCACTAACCCATGACTGTTCGACAACTTCTTCACCTCCTTCGATGATTCTCCCACATTTTAGTTTGACGTTTGGAAGTCACGACAGCTCGATGTTCTTTAGTTGGATCGAAAGTAACGACGACGCCGATTGGAAGGAGGGAGCTAGTTGCGAACGTAAGGCGTTTCGTGTCGGGACGGGTCAACCCGAAAACCTAATGTGTCGGGTCGTGTTTTCCAGTGACAGGTCAATGTTAGTTTTAACCCAAATCCAATCCACAACCTGATTTTGACAAGCCTAATTTATATGTTAAATTCAGAGACATGTTATATACATAAGACTTAAATTCAAGATAATCAAAATTTTCAATTAACATACCAACATGAGCTTCATAAACAGTATTTGTGAATATAAGTTAGAGAGTTATTACTAACATGAGAGAGAGAGAGAGAGAGACTTGGAAACGGCGAACCCTCGAGGGCGACCGATACTGTGAGCAGCTACGAAGCTCATAAGATGCAGTGTAGATTGAAGCGGGAGGATTGCAAGCACACAAAGCACGATTTACTTTTCTCCAAATGGGAGGTTTGATATTCTTTTCGTCTCCTATTCATCCCGGCTATTTCTCACCCTTTCTTCTTTTCATAGTTGGGAGGACATTTGGGGTTGCTATTTACTTTAAAATTTAGTGTTATTTCTCGAAGATCCTTTTTACTCTTGTAATTCTATCTTAAAAATGATATCAAGAAGGAATTACTTTCATCTAGGTCAACTGAATCGGAGTTGTTTGGTATCATATTTTAGCTGCGATTTAACTTAAATTCCCACAAACAGATTGTTTATTACTTCAAATCTTACTTTTTGGATAGATCTCGTTGGTTAAATTCAGGATTTGTTGTCTTACCATGTAAAGAATTTAAAGGATTCAAGAATTTCTCCTCTCACAACTCTTAAATCCTGCAAAAAGTAGCCAAATAGTTTATTACGATTTAACAAGATTTAAAAATTTTCATGCGAAATAATTTTCAAGTTTAAATCCTCTCAAAATTTACGAAATATGGATTTATAGGATCTATCTACTAAATCCTATTTCTAGCCAAACAGCTCCTAGAAGTCCAATCAATGGCAACCAATATTAGGGCTGTGGAAGAGGAATGGCTATGGAATGGAAGGCTTAGCAATTAATTGACTAATGGGGTTTCTAACTACTTGATTGACGTTAGGTGTTGCTTCGCTGTAAGCTCTAGCTAAAATAATGGAACCTGACGCTTTCGATCGGTCATACATCGCAACCATAACTTTTTAATTCATATCTTAGATAACTGGTAGCAATAATATGATGTAAGAACATACATAAATGTATGATTTGTAAGTTTACTTAGTTCTTGTACGTTTACTGCCTGTGCTTCAAAGAGATGAACGGCTCACAAATATTTCATGCTAAACATATTTGGTTTCACATTATCAATTAAAGATTTCAATTTATTCCTAAGTTCCAAAATAACATAATCCTTCGTATTGCATAAATAGCAGCTTATGATGCATTCATATATGCAAATTTGGATTTTGTTTCACTGCTCTTTTCCGCAACGGCTATAATATTAGCTAAGGTGATTTGTTAGCAGATTCTCATTGGACCAAATGATTGGGAAGGCCATGCTTCTGGTAAGGAAGGAGTTGAAAGATATAGGATTCATAATCTTCCAACAGCCTCGTCATGTCCTGGTCTTTATGAACTCGGTGTAGCTTCCATTCCGACCAATGAAGGCCACAGACTGCGGAAACATGATTGGGAGAATGTTATAGTTGGGTACCTTGGGCAAGCTGATAATGTTAGAACAAGACTCCAAGAATATGGCCGTTCAGGATCTCATTTGGACCATGGCAATCTTATCACTAGCTGCAAAAATTATGAAAGCTCTACTACCCAAGAAGGAATTGGACTATTCAAAGACATCTTCTCAAAAGGCTACTCCATCATGTTTAGATGGGCTCCAGTAAGTCTATTCTAAGCACCTAATATGTGACTTATTATCAGTTTTGAGTTGTGGAATATGGCAATGAAATAACTAAAAACTTTGAACTTCAGATTTCAGTTTTACAGTTTTACAGTTCTGACACTGTTACTCCAAGAATTTGCTCTTCCTTTGTTTATAATCCCTCCGATGGAAAACCACTTTTAAAAAATTCATCATTGGCAGATCTTATTTTGGTTGGGTGAATGTAGCTGCCCCGTGAGTTTTGACTTATTAGGGATGCTATCTTATTTTGACAGATAAAAAGCAAGAGGGAAGCTGAGAAGACGGAGATTGAGATTCTCCGTGTCTTTGATTATGCATGGAACAGAAAAGGAAATGGTTTGTGCCGGCATGCTGATTTAGTTGCAAGGTTAATCCATGATTCAGCGAGTCCAGTTCAAAGTCCTATGAGAAGACTAATGCAGTGGAAACAGGAAGCGTTCAGTAAGAGGGTAGGCATCAACATTGATGAAAAGTTGCCACTCTATGAAGAGTTAGCACCACTGCGTGGTCTCAAAGGCTATTTACTTCCTCGAATCGTCAAGTTTTCCTCTTCCCAGCTCCAATTCCTTCCACAAGATGTCAACTCTCTAAATGGTCAAATTATCTGTGGAGTAGCCATTGGTCGGGGCTCTATTTGCACAAATCAGCCAATACCAGGGAGGAAAAGATGTGCTGAGCACAAAGGAAAGAAAATCACTGGCAGTGGTTCAGCTTCAGGGAGAATGACTTCTTCCAATGAAATTCTTCTAGAAAATGGAACAAAGGGATGCGACTTGAACCAACGAGTCACTTTACCTCTTTTAGGTGAAATTTGTTCTCCATTTCTGCAACACCAGTCACCGTTGGCCCAAGAAAAGTTTCACTATGACAAAGAAGAGACTGGTGTTTGTGGAGTGGTCTATTGTGATGGTTCTGTGTGTAAGAGAAAGCCAGTATTAGGGAGGAAGAGATGTGAACAGCATAAAGGGATGAGAGTACATGCAGCCATGCCGTCTGCTGATAAAGTATTTAACTCTAAACAATTGAACAACATATGCGGAGTGATCAATGGTAATGGCCATGCCTGTACTAGGCTGCCGGTTTCTGGAAGGAAGAGGTGTGAGGAGCACAAAGGAAGGAGGCTTGTGTAAGCTGTAAACATAATTGTTTCGGGAGAAGAATAAAGCTTCCCAGTTTGTAGTGCTATTTCAATCCCAGCCTCCAGCAAGGAAGAGATGTGCAGTTTGAATAGTTTTTGGGGTAGAGTCCGCTTGTAACTTCCAACACTTTCCAGGTTTTCTGATTGCTATTTAGGTTGTTGTATTTGCTAAATTTGATGTAACATTATTTCGTATTGGTCCATGCAACAATTTCTCTGGAAATGCTTGAATAAAATAAGGTAATAATCTTTCTTCAGATCGAATTAACTCTGCCACAAAATCACTGTTTTCTAATAGTGAAAGGAACTTGTGCCAAAACCGGCGTGTTGAAAAAGTTAAAAAGTTCTCATATTCTCGCAACTTGGAGAAATTTGTTTGACGATCTGTATAGTTTCTTCTTTCTCAATCAATGACCACCATTTTCTATGTACAAATCTCGTCACCCACAAAAAACATTATCCCTGTCATGAAGTAAAATAGACAAATGGCAACTAGCTTCCTTATCGCTGAAACACATTCGATGATGACTGCAGCAACTATCCTCATAAATAGCCGAACCTGAATTATCAGGCCTTGCAACGAAGAGTTCACTGTGTCTATGACGAAGGCAATGGACTTCGATGGATGGATCGAAGACTCTCCTCTCTTCTGAGAAGCATTGCATACAAAATTTCATTCCATGCATCTGGAACTCCAGGCAAACACCAGTGGCTGCAGTCCTCTTTACTAGCAGTTTTGAGTCTTGCAGGGCTGACGTGATACAGTGATTGATGACCATCCTTCCTTAAAGCTGTCATGTAAGTAATGTTTAACAGCTCAAAAGCTTTAAGTGAGGCACCAGAAGAATTATCCGAGCTTAAGCTTGTGAACGGTTCAAGGAAAGGAAGCCATGAGTTCGACGACACCTGATCATGGTTAGATTCAGGGAGTATTTCTTGATGGCATGTTCCTCCATTCTTCCAGTCACCATTTCTACAAAAGTGAGATGATAGTGAGAGCATTCTCAATCAGATATGGAAATAGAAATCAATTGATTAAGAACCTGAAGTGCGCAGGAGAATATGTGCGGAAGAAGACATGAGTCTTGCTCGTATTAACTTCTTTCTGAATCCATTTATACAATGACTTCACTGATCTCCGATATGCAGTTTCTACACTCATATCCATCTTGACCTCAGAACCTTCTTGGAAAAAAATCCCCCTGGAAGGAAAATATGAATTTCCTTGATGTTTTTCAATATGCAGGGTTTAACCACAAAAACAAAGTAAGAAAAATCCACACAATTACCCTCTAAGAGTCTTGTCATGATTCCACCAGTGTCCAGCATTCAAAACCAGCACATCTGCATCACTCCATTTGGAGGAGAATTGGTCCATAACATCCAGTTTGATTGTGCTCTTTATCTGTTTTGACAGACGTCGAGGAGGGCTCCCAAGGCGAACCAAGAAAGGTGATCTGTAGTACTCCAAAGTGCAGTTGTAGTCTTTGAACTTGAACACCAAGAAGCCTTTATGCTTAGTAATTGGACTTCCATTAACTTCATAGATTGAGCTCTTGTTAGCTATCACCGAAGAAAACATGCAGAAGAGGGACTCCCATTGGTTTCTTCCAATGGAATCCCCTGCAAAAACTACCCTCCTATTCCTTAGCCTCTCAAGCATCTTCTTTGCATCAAAACTTGAAGAAAAAAAGAAGAGTAAAATGGTTTTATCAGACTTGCTTCAAGGAATCAGTAGGGTAACACAAGGAATTGTACGTGCCACTGAAAGGAATCCTTAATGTAGCTACATTTACCATGATGTTGAGCACAGTATAGCTACATCTTATTGTTTCGTATTTCACAGTCAATCTCTCAGCAAAGGAGACCATTTGTATCCTAAATTTTGTTGTTTCAGAATGGTTTAAAGTTCTGGAGAAAATCAAGAGAAAAGCTGGAGCTGTGCGATGGAAGATTATGATTTGTTTGGTATTATTTTTTTAATAATTTTACTCTCCAAATTACTATCATATTTCTATTTGACTATAATTTTCTTGTTACACTGACACATTTTAGATTACCTTGGATATATTGTTCAGAGTGATGGTGAAATAGATAGGAATATTATCAGCAGAATTCAAGTTGGATAGTTGAAGTGGAGGAATGCATCGAGCTTGTTGTGTGATAGAAAAGTCCCCCTCAAACTTAAGGGAAAATTCTATGAGATGGTGGTGAGACCTGTAATGTTTTATAGTGTCCATTGGAAGAAAAGATTAGAGAGACTCGCTTGAAATGGTTTGATCACATAAAACGACAGCCTTTCGATGACCCGGTTAGGAAAATAGAGGTATTAGATTTGACTTATGTTAAGAAAGGTAGAGATAGACTTAAAAAAAGTTGATTAGAAAATATTAGATTTAAACAATAATTTGACTTTTGACAGAACACAATGGAGAAAAAGGATTCATGTATCCGACCGCATGTAATGAGACAAAGGCTTGATGATGTTGTTGTGCTGAGAAATAATTTTTACAATCAGACCTCCTCAAGTATGATACTTATAAAAGGATTATGGTCTAAATAAATATTTTTTTTATAATATCCATATCACTTTGTCATAAATTTAATTTTCATATGACAATTTGCAACTATTTTTATAGACAACCCAAATAGACCCTACATCTACTTCAAAAAATATGCCAAAAATGACAAATATCTGCATTTTTAGCTTGGTATAGCAGTACACATAAATTAAACCAAAATAGAATGATACCCTTTACATTCAAATCTCACCCTTTCACCTTATTCAAGCTTTCAACCAAAGTTTGCCCTTTAACAGTAATAATGTGCTAAAGTCCAAACAAGCTCATTCGCCTCCTCACTCTTTAGCCATCAGAAAGCAACAATAACAAAGTTAATGGAGTTCAGAAAACAACAGTAGAGTTCAGGACGAAGGAAAAAATACAACCTCTGGAAAAAGAAAAAGTCGAACCTTGGAAGATTACATCGTTTAGGCTTCCATCGCCACTTAGCATAGAACCTGTCGGGCCTCCCGTTCTCTGTGCATCGGAAACCCTCGTCCAAAAAAGGACAGTCTTTTGACTGATAAAGCGGGTAGCTTTCGTCCCAAATCCACTCTCCATCAAAGAAATCACATTCATCCCGGCCTCTTCCTCCAGTCTCAAACCGCTCCTGCACCGGCAAACTCCCAAGTCCGCCACGACGTGCTCCGGCGACGAGGGAAACTCGGTCGATAAACACGGCATGGTAGTTGAAACAACGGGGTATTAAGATGAAGAGGAAGAAGGCCACGGATGCGAAGATGAAGAGACACAGCGCTCGTCCCATGTAGTATTTCTCCTGTCTAGTTACTTCCTTCAAGTATTGTCTCCATTAATCCTCCAACCTTCTAATCAGTAACAATCTGAGGAATTTGAAGTGGGCAAATAAATCGAAGATTTTTCTCCCCCAATAGCAGCAAAGGGACTGAATCAGGGGTGGAGGGCTAGCCACTAAGACTGCGAGGTAATCAAGGATAGGGAAAACAAGCAGTAATGAGGAAAGAATCTCTCTCTTTCGCTCTCTCTCGTCGCTCTCTTGTTTTCTTCCTGTTTCTTGTTGAGATCGCCGGAAAAATGTCAACCGATAGTGCTATGGAATACTAGGACCAGAAAGAGTAGAAATATTGGCACGTGGACTTGACTTTGGCGGGCAGCAACAAGCATTTTATTTCATTACTTTTTTTATTCAGAGCAGGCTTAATTTTATTATTTATAAAAAAAATAATTATATATGAGATAATATATCAAAATTATAACTCATTTCATAAATAAATATTAAAATATTAAGCTACAAACCCAAAAATTAATAAGCTCATAGAAGAAAAAAAAATCATAGCTTTCAAAAACTAAGACTCAAAATGAGCAAAAATCACTCAAAAATTAAAAATATCATCAAGAATGAATCTAAAGCATCCATTATTGTCAGTATTCCATCCAAAGAGAAGAAGAATCATATTCCATATTGACTTTTAAAAAAAAGTATATTTTCATATGAAATAGAAATAAAGGGATATAATCATTTCTTGCAAAAATAATTTTTAAAGGATAATATTGGATAAATAAAGAGATGCGTAGGGTAGAGAGATTCAGTGGGCCAATAACAGGATTGTCACAATAATAAAAAAAGCAATCACGACCGAGGCACAAATCAGCTCCTTAAGCATAACTACGATTAATATAAATATATGAATATCATAACCCAGATAATGCCCAAATAGTAGAAAAAATGAAACATTAAGTAGCATGCATCAAGAACTCTCTAAGGAAAATATAAAAATATTGCATGAAGATCAAAATATAGACGAAACAAACAAGCTAAAAGTGGAGCCCAAAAAAAAATTAAGAGTTAAGAGATGAAATGTTTAGTTTACTAAAATTTCTTTTATTTAGCATATTAGCATAGGAGCTATGAGTGGAATCACTGAAATGCTTAAAATTTCTCTCACACAAAGTATAATATAAAAAACAACAAATATATAGGCACTATAAGTACTTAGTAGTAGATTTTGCTTGAGGCATATCATCTATGAAGCATAATAGTTGAAGCATAGGTGGCCTTAACATAAAATCAAAACGCTAAGGCAATAAAATGTATATGGTATTAAAAGAATAATTACACTCAAAGAAATGATGATAAGAGGTTTCATCGTAAGTGTTGTAAAAAATGTAAATAGATTGAACATGAATAGTACACATGATTAAATTATCATCAATTTTAAGGCCTTCAGCAAATTATAAGGTATAGTTATTATGTCATGTGAGTTTATGCCATAAAATTGGAGTCTGATCCTCATAGAAATCTTATAAAAATGATTTGAATGGGGGGCAATTGAAATTTTTCCAACACAAAGCATTGCTAGAATCCTACATAATTAATATAAACGATAATATTTATGATTGTATGAGGAAGAGAGGAGGGTAGAATCCAACTATTATTTGAATGGAAACAAAATTAGTAAAGTTATGGGGATAGATGGGGAGGAGAAGTTGGGGCCAAAAACTTTATAAAGAAATTTCTCGTTTTACCTTGGGTCCCAAAGGAAGGAGAGGTTGGAGTTCCTAGAAATTTTGAAAGTGAAATGCATCTTGGACTTCATCACAGCCAAACATAAACTTTTCTAGAAGATGGAAGCTTTGGCAAGCATAGGTTTCCAACAACACAAATATTTAACCTTAATTTTTCTAGAAAATGGAAGCTTTGGCAAGCTTAGGTTTCCAACAAGACAAATATTTATCCTTACACCACAGTGGAAAAAGCCCATCAAAGTTAAGAGGCATCACAAAAAAGAGTAGCATTAACTATAGTTTTGGGTTCACATGTCAGTAATTCCCAGACACTCAATTTGCTTAGGCAAATAAGTGTTTTTTCAAGACATGAGATGTAGTTTTTAATTTGTCATGATGCCATGAAATAAGAATTTAGCACAAAGTTTATTTATGAATTTGTAACAACTTTTGGGAATGATAGCTCTTCTTCCAATAAGATATGTAGTTCCATATACAATTGATATATAATTAATTGAACTAGTGTTGACACTAACATAGCATAGCATACTAATATGGATCATTGATTGATAGTCCTTTTGCTAATTTTCAATATAGTTGATAGAAATCTTTTGGTTGTACTGATTATATTAGTTTTATTATTAAATAATATTAATTTTATAAATTTTTCATTACTTATATTGATAGATTATTGATTGTTGATTGATATGGGCTGAAATTGGAGCATACATATTAATTCTTTTGTCTTGCATTGAATTGAGTTGTAAGTTTTGATTATTTATTAAGTATGCTCATTGCGTGATTTTATATAATTTTAAGTAAATGTGAGGAGCCTGCAACATGAGATTAGACAATGATGCTAGGTTAGTTAAAATTTCAGCTCTTTAATTTATATGTATTCTTTTGTAGCCTGTAGTAGTTTGTATTTTTTTCTTTTAGACTTTTAAATAAGCTGTAAATATTGACTATAAAAATATAATTATATTTTCTAATATTTGTCATTGTTTTTATTTCTTGAATGCAATTAGTTAGTTATGGTTATCAATGAATCTAGTTGTTAAATAATTGAAAAAAATATTAGAATAATAAAGAAGATAAGAGATGTTATTCATCCACTTTAGATATCAAGGTATCACACTGTAGTTGGGCGACTAGAGTTAAAGGGAATATAATTGAATGATGGTGGTCCAAGGACTCTTAGTCGATAGATAATGGAGGTCAGAAGGATCATAATCAGGTGACAGAGGTTGAAAGGATCATAATTTGGTGATAGTGGTTAGAGGATTGTACTCAGTGGGTGACGGAGGTCGGAATGACCTTAGTCAAGTGATGGTGGTTCGAGGATCATAGTCCATCGACGATCGTCAAAAGGACAATATTCAAAGGGTGACCCAAGTCAGAAGGACCGTAATTAAGCAATGGTAGTTTAAAAAACTAGTGTAAAGTGACAGAGTGTAATAACCCAAAAGTGTAAAATAAATTTATTTTAAAATAGAGCTCTATGGTGTTAGGCTACTAACAATATTTATACATATTTCTATTATGGGATTGGGGGTATCATCAGAGATGGCTCTGGTAAGGTTTTAATTAGTTTTGCGGGGCCTTTTGATAGGAGCTATTATCTGGCTATTTTTGCTGCTATCCTTCATGGTTTAAATTGGTGTTTGGCCCTTGATATTGTTAATATTACTATTGAAACTGAGACTAATTTTCACATTCAGTGTTTATTTAATGATTTAAACTTGACTTGTCATCCAGAGGCCTTTTATACTATTAGAGACATTAGGATTTTGATGAATTCTATCAATGTTCACAATTCCTTTATTTATAAGGAGGCTAATGCTTGTGCTACCTGGTTGGCTTGTTTTGGTGCTGGTAAGGCTAAATTGATTGACATTGTTGGTAGAAATGCTCCTGCTGCTTTGAACGGCCTCATCAATTTGGATAAATGTTCTTTTCCTTATGTCAGAATGTAATTTTCTTGCGTCTCCTTCTCTGGAGTTGCTGTGGTGTTTTGATTTTCTGCTCCGTTTCCTCTCGTGGTGCTGTATTTTTTCTGGATTGGTTCATCGGATTAAGCTCTGTGGGGGTGTTTTGAACTTTGGCTTAGCTGGTGTTTTTGGGGTTCTATTGTTTTGTTGGATTATTTTTGCTAGTTTGCAGTTTAATTTTGAGTTGGATAATCTTCTTCTGGGTTGGATCATTGAGGATTATGTTAGTTGGTTGCGGGGGTTTCTTTTGAATTATGGCAATTGCTCCTGTGGGGATTACTGGTTGTGTTGTATTGGTGTTTACTGGCTCCTTTTCGTTCTGCTGGCTCTCGGTGTTTTCTGGAAGGGTTTGAGCAGTTTCTATTTCAGTCGCCATCGGACATTATCTCATCGGAGTATGTATGTTCTTCTGTGCTTTTATCCTTCTATTTTAAATTTTGTTTTGCAGGATCCTTTTTTTGCAGATTATAGTTCGCATCAGTTTTGGATCTTGGAGCAAGACCTGAGACTTTTTTTGGGTTACTTCCTTAATTTTTGGGTGTTCATTTTTGAACACCGTAGAATGTATCTAGAAAATTTTGTATTTTGGCTAGAAAATTTTGTATTTTGGCTTAGAAGGAAACTTGAGCTCTTAGGTTTTTTTATTTTTTTGGCTTGTAGCTCGGCAGAGCGTTAGTAGAGCTCGAGGTCCCTTTAAGGATATTGTAATTTTGCCATTTATATCAACGCGTAGGCCCACTGTGGGTTTCCCCTATATATATATATATATATTTCTATTATAATATCTCTGTCTCACCCCCACTGCCTCCCTCACTTGGTTGCTTGGTTAGGAAGAAATTGGAGGAGAAAAAGAAGAGAAATGAGAGATAAAGATCTTTGGGCCATATTTGCCTGTCGCTCCTGTTATGAATTTTATTCTATTCGTTATAAGTAATTATCTTCTTACTTATGTTTTTGATGATTTTGATTTCTACAAATTTATTTCTCATAAATCCGCCAAAAATATATTATATCTTGATTTTATAAGTTTTTATCGTATAACATTTGATATGTTATATATTTTATCATTCAGAATAATATGATATGATTTTATTACTTTTTTATCGGGTACATATGTGTATAAAAATTTTCATGTAAAATGAGTAGGGAAAAAGACAAATTGGAAATGAGTTGAGAAGTGTTATATTGTAATTTGTCATGATAAGACTACAAGAAAATATGTATTGAAATGATTAATAATTTGAGTTATGTCAGAATGTTTGCTACTAGTCTAAATTTGATATGATATACTGATTGATATCATATATATGATATGATTACCTTATATGATATCCTCAAGATTTATATGGTCCGCTGAAGGAAGCCAATGGATGGGAGTCATAAGGAGCTGAAGATTGATTGGATGTTATAAGGAGTCAGGACATTGATTCACATGATTTAAAGGAAGTTATAATGAGCACATTGATTGGTATTAATAAGGGGCAACTGATTTGGAGTTATAAGTGCAGGAACAAAATATCCTCTTATGAATATATGAATATTATTAATGATACTAATACTATACTAATATTAATATTGCAGACACTAATCACTATTATTGATTACTATTACTGATTATTAATTTTATTAATATAACTGACACTGAGAATACTTTACTGATGCCCAATACTATTATTGATATTGTGACTATAACTGACAAATTAATGTGAGCTGAATAGAAGATAAGATTGAATGGAATTGATTGAGTGACAATGATCGATTGACTAGTTAATTGATTAGAGTTTATGATGAAAGAATGAAACAAAACTGACTGAGATATGATATGTTATAGATTGATTATTAATACATATAACCAGTATAGATATATTGATGCATATTTTTATATATGATTTATAAAATATTATTCTCTTTTAACTTGCATTGATTTTAGTTGTAAGATTTTGATTACTTAATAGGCTGTGTTTATTATGTGATTTTAGATATTTATAAGAAATGGTAAGAATACTATAATATAAATCTCCAAAAAACATGCATAATTCTTTCCATTGTTCATAAGAAATTGGTAAGTTCTAGTTAAATGATTAAAATAAAAGGCAAATGTAATTCTTCTAATAAAAATCTCAGGGTGTGACACAAAGGTCGGAAGATTGTAGTTAGGTAACGGAGGTCGGGAGACTGTAGTTAGGTGAAAGTGGTCAGTAGACAAAAGTTGAGCATTGGCTGTTGGTAGTAGTCCGGTGGTTGCCCGGTGAAGGTCAAATAGAGGAGGTCTAACGATAACGGTCAGTCGATGATAGTTTCAATGGTGGTGGATGGGAAAAAGTTCAATGATGTTGGCTAGGAGGTTAGGTTGCAGCCAACCTTAATATGAAAAAAAATCTAGAGTGAATCTATAGTGCTCCATCAGACAACTCATATTGATCCCTTCAATCATGGAACATTTCTTTAACATTTAAATGCCTTAATAATGTTAGAATTAAGTGATCTTAAGCATGTTGCTTACATCTCATCGAGCCACTTGATTGAACTATAAGATTGCCATATTTGAAGAATATTTAATCATCCAATTAATGATTTGAGTTTTCCTCTAAAACACTAATGAAGCATTTTTATATGACCTCACCCTTCATATAAATTCCTAATACATACAAATCCAAAAAGGTATATATAAACAATAATAAAAGAAAGTTTATTTAAATATTTTTAATATTTACTTGATCGGAAATCCAATTCAACCCGTTGAACCATTTCCTTCTTCCAATTCCCCGGTCCGATTCTTACAAGCTTGACTATAACAGGTCTAAATCCAAATTCTTATTAGCCTGTCTCTCCTCGATTTCTTTCTCCCTCTCTCTTCGCTCTGGTTCTAATTTCTATCTTCCCGTCCATCGAAACCCTAAAATTCTCTTTCTTCGTCTTCTGATTTCTCCAAAGTAGCTGTAGAACCTTATATTTGATCACTTGCTGTCTTACAAATCGGTCCTTCTTCGTGGGCATGCGGAAGATTTTTGTTGAGCCAAGATCCTCGGCGAACCCTCATCTCAGCTTTGGAGTTTGGATATTTCCGCGGTTTCCAAAGATTATACTTGGGAGCTATTTTTATTCTTCATCTTTCAAAGGAGAAGCAATCGTTATTTTTTCCCAGGTTTGTGGTCCTTTTTTCAGGTAATCAGTTATTTTCCTAAACTAGTTTAGTTTTGATTGGCTAACGGAAAAGTGCTCTGTTATGTTTTTTACCTGCTATATTTATTTCACTTGAAATGTTCTATGAGTGAGATTTTATTGTAGCAACAAAATTACGGCTCAGTTGAGTTGTTCTAAAAATTCTTTGGTTTGCATAATTGAGTTAGCTAATTGAAAAAGATATCTGCTATTATCTGATGTCACACAATCATTAATTGAGCAAATTAAGCCATCGCTTGAGGTAATTGGAGTGTGGTTAGTAAGATGTAAGTGGCGGCTATTAACTGTTGTGTATGTGGTACGTTTTTATCTGTTAATTATTGTTTGTTTGGTAGCTATTTCATCTGCCAAATGTTGTTTTTTTCTTGCTTCATTGCTTCATGGGGTAAAATATAATTGTCAGACTGAAACTTGATGAAAACCTTTAATATTGACAGATGTCAGCAAACGAAATAGCGAATCCTTCCAAAAACATGAAATTTATGGCACATGCTAGAGAACCAAACGTCTTTTTATGTCTATTATATTATTTTGCATTAAATCCTTCTTCAAGCAAGTTCTTACACACCGGATGATATTACTAATTGAAGGTTGGCAGATAGTCACGAACCATTTCACTTTACTGCTTTTCTATATTAGATATTTTTAGCACACTCTTCCATTCCAGTTATTGCATTTTCTTCTAATCTACGAATATCAATGGTGCACGCTGAATAAAACTGTTCTACTTATGTTTTGTGTAGATTGAAGGTGGCATTTACTCTTTGACTGCATTTTGTCAATGGTTAGCGGTTCTTTGATGGAACCACCTCTTGATGTGAGCGCTGAGATTGATAGAGTGAAGGAAGTTGAGATGAATGGAATAGTGGCCTTGCATAATGGAGTACCTCAGGTGTGAATGTTATCCGGATCTTCTTACAGTCCCTTGTTGCTTAGACGTGTAGCTTCTGTCATTTTGGGTTTTTTATTTTTTATTTTTATTTAAGTCTTTTGACCCCATTCCTTTCCTTTTTCAGGATATGCTTACTGATTCCTCTAAGAAAGATGAGATCAAGGAAATAATCAGTGATGGTGACAAGGTGCCTAATGTTGGAATGACTTTCAAAACATATGATGAAGTATCTAATTTCTATAAGCAATATGCTTTACGAGTAGGGTTTGGTGTAATTGTCAAGAAGTCATGGTTCTCAAAATCTGGGAAGTGCAGGAGAGTTTTACTTGGATGCTCTAGGGCAGGCAGCGGGCGAGCAGATGCATGTTATCAAGCAAGATTGACTGCTAAGACTAACTGTCAAGCTATGATAGGTGTAAGGAGGCTGGATGATGGTTTACTACACATTGTGGAAGCTAATCTTGAGCATAATCATCCAGTCAGTCCATCAACAGCACAATCCCTGAGATGTTACCAGAAAATGGCATGTGAGATAAATCTTATCCATTCTGCGGGAAATAGGAGTTCTCACATTGTTGAAAAGGGCATTGGAAATGCTCTGGAATTTGGGATGCTTAAGCTAGGGGAAGGGGATGATGTAGCTATTCATCAATTTTTTGCTAGAATGCAGAATAGAAATCCAAATTTCTTTTATTCAGTGCATCTTGAGCACCATGGTCGTATGAAGAATCTGTTTTGGGCTGATGCAAGATCAAGGGCTGCATCCTCATATTTTTGTGATGTTGTATCATTTGATTCAACCTGCTTGACTGTAAAGTATGATTTGCCTCTTGTTTCATTCATTGGAACTAATCATCATGGTCAGACAGTGTTGTTGGGTTGCGGTTTGCTTTCAAATGAAACTGTAGAGACATATATTTGGTTATTTAAGACTTGGTTAGCATGCATTATGGGAAGTCAACCAAATGCTTTCATCTCAGACCACTGTAAGGCCATCCAATTGGCAGTTGCGGAGGTGTTTCCAAGAACCAGGCATCGCCTCTGTTTAGATAATATAATGAAAAAAATTCCTGAAAAATTGAAAGGATACGCAGAATTCATTGAGATAAGGAAGACACTAAAGAAGCTGGTATATGATTGTTCAAGGATTGATGAGTTTGAAGAGAAATGGAATAAAATGATCGAGGGATTTAGACTTGAAGGAAATGAGTGGCTTAATGCTTTATATGAAAACCGGCATTCATGGGTCCCCCTTTATCTCAAGGACACTTTTTGGGCAGGCATGTCTGTTTCCAAGCGTGGTGAGAGTTTAAGTTCATATTTTGACGGATTTGTGAATCCAAAGACCACAGTTAAGCAATTTCTTAGTAAATATGAGACCATCATCCAAAGCAAGTGCAAGAAGGAAGCACAAGCAGACTCTGAATCACTCTATAAGGTCCCTTTGATAGCATCAAAATTTTACATGGAAGAGCAACTATCAAAAATGTACACTCTGAACATGTTCAAAAAATTCCAAGAAGAGCTAAAAGCCACCATGTATTGTCATGCTTCACCAATTAAGATAGATGGGCCTATTCATATTTTTGAGATTAAAGAATGTTCATATATGGAAAATGGTAAGAGAACTGAGAGCAAGGACCATGAGGTCTGTTACAATTCAGATGAACTTGCTGTTCATTGTGTATGCGGCTTTTTTCAGTTTAATGGAATTTTATGTCGACATTCATTGGCAGTTTTTAAGTTGCAACAAGTTTTTGAAATTCCATCTCCTTATGTTCTTGATCGCTGGAAAAAGGATTTTAAGAGGTTGTACCGTTTGGCTCGCTACTCAGATGATATAATACCTAATACCCCAGTGGAGCGTTACGAATACTTGTCTGTACGCCTACTTCAACTTGTAGAACTCGGATTTGTGTCTGAAGAGAGGTATCAGCTTGCATTAAAACTAATAAGGGAGCTAGAGAAGTCTCTTTTGGATGATCCTGAAGGAAGAGAGAGGCAACCCAGGCTTCTTTCTTTTGAGTCTCAGACCAGTCAGTGTGTTAATGACCTTTTGTCATCACAATTTGCTATGTCAAAGAACAGTAAGAACCCCCCTTCTTTTCCTGCAAAGCGAAGAGGCAGGCCACCAAAAAAAATCAAACAATCTAATTTAGAGATATTAGTCCAGACAAATAAGGAGCAGGTGATTGATCAAAAAGATGTAGCAGTTCTATTTCATGCTTTTTTTTATTCATTTCAGATTTTCTTTCCCTTTAATTTTCAGGATTTTCTAAGGCCGTCTCTCATCGGGAGTGAGAACCTTGTATTTCAAGCTGCCTCAGCTTCTTCACCCCTTGATGTGCATGTGGGATCACAAGGATGCATCGATTTAATGGTTTTGTTCATAGCTTTATTCTTTTACGTGTCACGTTTTAAATTCCAGCACTATTTACCACTTAATCTAATCCGATGCACTCCTACAGGAAGATGTTAACTCCAATGAGTTGTCATTCAGTACACATTTTGGTGTTCATGCTAACCCTCAGCATCATTTGGGAGCTCAAGTAAGGCTGCATACAAGATTTTCTTTTTTTAATTTAGTTATTTTGTCTTTGATTTCATGTACTTGCATTTCAACGAGCCATGGATTTCAAATTTAGCATTACATGCCATAAAAATTCAGATTGATTAAACCCTGTGATTTTTTCTTGATAAAACTTTCATCCTAACAAGATGTGCTTATTTCAGAATCTATATGAACAGCAGGCATTGGAAAATCCACCGAGAGTACAATGGCTTTATCCACAAAATTATCAGGTTATTGCTTAACTAGTCTTATTTTCTCTATTTTTCATGCTGACTTATCTGTTTCGGGCCTTGAAAGCTCTATTCTGTAACTGGAAATGTAGGAGGAAGCACGAACAATTCGAAGGACCGGATAGAAGAGTTTGCAAGGAACTATTTTCTCAGGTTACCACTAGCTTTCATCCTGCATGATTTGCCTAGCCTCTATGTTTTGGCTATGCCTAAATTCAGAAATAAACTATCTTTCCCCTGTACTTCTGATGAAGTTGCAGCCTCGTTTGCATTTGAACATGGAAATTGGAAGGAGCGTGTTCTTGTCAGATTTTGAACGAGAAAAAAATACCCCATGAATTCAAGCAATAAGTCTGATTTTGGACCTGCCTTGAGAACATTCAATAATTTGACAGGTATGAATTTAGAACCAGTGGAGTTGGGAGTTGAAGATAGTTTTATGCAAGCTTAAAAGTTTCATCTTGATTTTGATACTGCCTTTCCTGTTAAGTTTCCTTCTTCTTAAAGGTACATATCACCAAGGGCTTGTTTGGTTGCTTGAATTTAGAATATTTATGATGAAGATTGTTAGATTCATCATAAAATTAAATATAATTTAGCACTAACATTAAGTTCAAAGTACACAAACATCCTCTCAAAGCAAGGATTTCAATTTCATGCTCAAAATGAGTGAAAACATTATTTTCTAAAATATATTTTATCTACGAGCAATCAAACGATCCCTGTGCTGTGCTGTGAAAAACCTGAAGACCTGGATTCACAAACTGGAGCCAAGGAGGCTAATGGATTCATCAACTAAAGATTTGGCAGCACTCACTATATTCATGGGAGACTAGGAGATTCAATCAAAATGGCTGCATGTGAGTAGCTTAGTATTCACTTACTTCGGGAGAGTGGAGCATTTGAAAACTTCATCATTTTAAGGGGAGATTAATCTGTGGACACCAGACGGAAGAACCATCCGATACCGCTTAGTACGGTGTTCAGTATCAAGCATGATACACTTTTTAGATGATGTGACACATTTTTATTGACCTCTGAAATTTGTCCATTTTAAGGCTCATGATCATGGTGACAAGTACTACTGTCAATCGAGTCATTATTATTTCTTTTTGTCAAAGGAATAGTTTTTATAAGAGAAATAGCAAACTTTAGAATTCAACAAGTATCCATATTCATTAAGAGAATTCAGCAGTTTTGCATTGATAAAATCCCTTTTTATATAGTTGCTGACAATTGTAGCTCTCTCTCTCTCTCTCTCTGGTGCGTATGAAATATATTTCCATATTCCTTCTCTCATATGCAACATTTTTTAATGCAAGGAGAATTCACATGGACCATCCTAAGAGAGAGACCATCCTAATCAGATTTGAGGAATGCTGCTGGTTTCTACAAAGTTTCCAGTGTTGACTTGTTATTGGAACTCCAAAGCTTTCACAAATAAAATAAGCATGGTGTAATAGAAATAATAGTTTATGTCTGAAGAAAAGGATTTTACTTAATATTTCTCAAAACAACCTATCTATTTTTAAGTGATACCTTTGCCTGTTGAACCGGTTGTGCAAATATAACGAAGAGAAACGATAGCGTAAGTTATGTGTACAATATAACTAATCTGTATCATAACCTAATTTATTAGAATATAATAACCATAGAAAAGCAGATTTTCAATTTTTATGAAGCATAAAATTTATAATACACAATAATTTTAAAAAATATTAGATTTCCAACAACAATATTACAAATAATTGCAATGAGACCCACAAGTCTAGAATGCATACAAACATAGCACTTCAGATATTTCTTAAAGCAAGAGAGCATCATAGTCCATTGTTTCCAAGGCATTCCAATGATACATAATGTACATGAATATTTTATGATGGATTAGGTAGCTTATTCAGAACACCACCTTATAGATATGCTGGAGCTTCTTGTCTGTACAGTCGTCGTTCATCTACTTTGAAACAGCCACCTGAGCTGCTGCCAACCTGGCTATGGGCACCCTGCAAAGACAAACATAGGCAATATGAAACCAGATAGGATGAAACAGTCCTCTATTATGAATAAACGAAGGAAGAGTAGTAGTAACCAAAAAACAATTTCATATTTTGACCTGAATGGCGAGCATGAGACGTAGTCAAGGCCAACTTCTGCGAAAAAAGAAACCGAGGAAGGTTCTCCACCATGCTCACCGCATATTCCAATCTATTTCATCGCACAATTAACGCCTCATGGTAAAGTTGGCAAGCTAATATCTAAATCTCACCATCCAAAAAGGATTCTGACTCACCTTAAGATCAGGCCTAGCCTTTCGACCTCTTTCAGTAGCAATCCTCACAAGCTGCCCAACCCCTTTCTGGTCAAGAACCTATTGAATGCAGTATTTAGAAGAAACAATAGAAATTTAGCATACAAAATCGAAGCTGAGCTTCTCAACTAAAATATATGTCATAACATCGTGTGTAAGTAAGTAGATTCAGAAAAGTATACAACAAATTTTAGCACAAATAATTTAGGTTTATTGATATAAACATATTTTGGGACGCCACCTCGAATGGATCATTTTGAAGGATGCCCTTAGATAGGTAAATTGGTAGAAATTTCCCAACATCATCTCTGCTATACCCGAAAGTCATTTGTGTTAGGTCATTTGTTCCAAAAGAGAAGAACTCTGCATGCTCTGCAATCTGTCAATGAAGTTCAACATGTAACAATAATAAGATGCTGTAATTAAATTTCAATTAAAAAAAAAAACACGTAGCATATTCTTTCACATATAGAACTAGCTTGTGGTCAGTATACTACCAAGCGTTGCTGTGTATTGTTGTGTGCAAAATATTTACAAAAATATTTTATATACAACAGTACAATAGCAAACTGTATAAATTGATGCATAGCTCCACGCAAGGGCAAAACAAAACAAACACATATAACGTAAGGGTAGTCATATGGTTCATCACTCCCAAAATTAAACTATACGTTTCACTTAATACCTTACCTCATCTGCTACTAGGGCAGCCCTAGGGATTTCAATCATCGTTCCCACCTTGTAGCTTACTTTAGCATTCAATGTGTTGAAGACCTTTTCAGCTATATTGTGTACGAGATTCACTTGGTGACCTAATTCCTGCCAGATGTCAAGAGCTGAAAGATAAACAAAAAACTTAAAAAGTAGGAACAAAAGATTTAGAAATAACTTCCTGATCAACTTGAATCACAACAAATTTATAAGATACATAAGTCGCATGTAATTTATATGCATTCCTAAAAATTCTACCTAACTTCTACAAGTATTTTGCCTACCTCCTAATGTCAATATTTAACCTCTACAAAATTGCTATATATTTTCTCTAAGTAGTATATAAGAAGATGGTTGTATTATATTGATGGGTATCTCTTATTCATTGAGTCGGGTGTAGAGGTGGAGGCCAAAAAGGCGGCTAGTGAAGTGATTGGTAATTACCTTGATTAGTGTAATGCAAAGAGATTTCTTTGTTGGATGTTTAACAAAGAGCAGTGAAGGGTCAAAAGTGACAATTGTAAGCAGGAAGCCTTCATAAGAGAAGATAGGCGACTATCATAGTAGTGGTGATCAACAAGATTGTCCTATATAGGGGGCGATAGACATTCTTCTTTCTCCAATGAGCAAATATTCATATCAAATATTTTTCTTTGCTACGGTAAAATGATTTTTTTTTGTGGTTTCGTGGATGTAGATTAACTTCTTCAAACCACTTGACTTTGTTATTGCACATTTCCCCATGTGTTCATTCGTTCGTTTATATTATTTTTCTCATTTTTGTGATCATCATTGCTCTCTTGTACACGCCTTCCGTCAATAGTTGATATCAGAGGTAACTAGTTTAGAGTCTATGGGAAAAGTGGAAGCAATGGCATTCGAATATGGGAATGTGAGATTGACTCATTCAATGTCATGGATTTTAGATAGTAGAAGATGTGAATTGAGGAATGCATTTATTAGAAATCTTCTCATGGCGATGAAGCCCACTACCATGAGCAAGGAAGTTGACATCCCTTGGGAAAAGGGATGACAGCAACAAAAATAAGCCTTTATCCCACTATGTTGGTTCGGCTACATGAATCCTTTTTCTCCATTTTGCCATGTTAAGAACCAAATTCTCATATAAATCTCATAAAGAAATGTCATTTCTAAAATTTTCTAACCAAGTCTTTTTAGGTCTACCTCTACATTTCTTAACACGAGTTAAATCTAATACATCTACTTTCTAATAGGGTCATTGGAAGGCCGTCGTTTTATGTGATCAAACCATCTAAGGCGACTCTTTCTAATCTTATCGTCCACTGGAGCTACTCCAAGTTTTTCATGTATATGCCATTTTGTATCATGCCTTTAAGAGTAAAGCCACTCATCCACCTGAGCATCATCATCCTCATCTCTGCAACACTTAACTTAATATTATGCTTCTCTTTTAATGGCCCATCATTCTGCACCATAAAGCATTGCAGGTTTTACTACCATCTTATAGAATTTTCCTTTAAGTTTGAGAGGGACTTTTCTATCACACAACAAGCCCGATGCATTCCTTCACTTCAACCATCCAACTTAAATTCTACTCAAATATCCCCATCTATTTCATCATCACTTTGAATAATAAACCCAAGATATTTAAAAGGAGACATTTGAAGTTATATATTTAACTCTGAAAAATAATACTTTATTTAACATATCTTACAAAAAGACTGCATCTAGTGTGATGAAAGCTTTCTCAAATGTGTATGAGTAGCCTTCAGATGGATGAAGGCTAGTAGCTTTGTAAGATATATATGAGCTTTTAGTGGTGAAAGATTTTCAATCTCAGGATGATTGAGAAAAATTTTTAATTTTAGGATAATTGAGAAATATTTTCAATCCAAAAAAGGCCGAAGGTGCTATCAAAATGGTGCACAACAATTAGTTCAATTTAATCACAAGTTAAGCTCAGTGGATATCAACTTCAATGATAAAGTTTGTGCTTCCTACTTATTATCATCGTTATCAAAAAGTTGAGTCGGAACTGTATGTGGATATTCGACAATGAAGCTTAATCATATTTGTGACTTCATATTGAACGAGAATATTAATATATAAAGATATTAATATAAAGGTCAGGCAAATGTTCTTTTATTGCTCTAAATCTTGAGAGTTGAAGAAGATATGCAGAGAGACAATGAAGGCAAATTCAAATTTCAGTAGAGAGGCCAATAACAAATTTACAGCAATGTCTGTTGATGATGTGATAAAGATAGTCAAATAGAAAGAGACTATAAAAAAAGGTGGTGAGATTTTATATTAGATAAGGAATCTAAAAATGTTACAAATGAAGATATTTGTCATGCATCGGTCCTTAATAAGGATAGTTTTATGAATTCATGGATCATAGACTAAGGTGCACCTTTCTATTCTACTCCACATAAAGAGTTAGATTGAGAGGTGGTGTTACATTGAGATGACTCTCAGAAGATGGCAGGTCAAAATTTAATCTCTATTTGGGAGATTCTTGAGATGTGATTAAAATCTATAACATGCATTTGTTACATATGCCTTTCATGCACTTCTAAAAACTATAATCTTTAGAAAAATGTTACCTACCTCCTAATGTTATCTATCTGACCTCTAATAGTTCATTTCTAATGCCTCTAAGTATTATATAAGGAGATGGTTGCATGATGTTAATAGACTTTGTCATTCTTCTTATTCAATCATGTGTAAAGGCGAAGGCTAGAGAGCTGACCAATAAAGTACAGATTGGTAATTAAGTAAATTAGTGTTACAAAAGGTTTTTTTTTGTTGGATGATCAACAATAATATTAGAGGGCTAGAGGTAATAGTTGAAATTCAGAAGCCTTCATAAGAGAAAATTAATGACTGACATAGAGGTTGATGACCAGCGAGGTGGTTCAATATAAAATGTGACAAGCTTTCATATCTTTGGTGAGCATAATAGCCCATAGAGGAATTGTGAAAATCCCTTAAAAAAAATAAAATTAAACTCTTAAATATAGATATATTTTTTTATGTGAAGGTTGAAATTTTATTAGAAACTTCAAAGTTAAACGTGCTCATATAGGAGCACTCTTAGGATAAGTGATCTCCTAGGAAGTTACACCAATTGGACCAAATCGTGAGGTTATTAGGCCAAAGAGAATAATATATCAATGATTCAAAGTTTGGGTTGTTACAAATAGTATCAAAGAAATATACTAGCCGAATGATGAGAACTTTGGCTTAAAATCCTATTTGCTTGGTGGATGATTATTGGTAAGGATGTTAGTTATCTAAGTGGGGGAACTCTGCCTTAAATATTGAGGCATTTTTTGGTGTAATGATTAGAATTTTATTAGAAACTTCAAAGTTAAGCATGCCTATACAAAAGCACTCGTAGGATGGGTTCTAGGAATTTGCACCAATGAGATAAAATTGTGAGGTTATTAAGCCAAAGCGAACAATATCTCTATGGTTGAGAGTGTGGGCAATTACAAAAATTCATGATAATGAAATAAAAGTAAGTTTTTTTCATTGTTTGCTTTGATATATTATGTCTATACTACTTGTATAAACAATATTTTTTTTATGAATACTAAACATGTCTTCTTATTCATTCATCATGCCTTGTGTTATCAAGGTGTTATGTTTTTCAGACCTGGGGTGTGATAGAGTGATATCAGAGCAATACACCAACCGGATGATGAGAACTCAGCCTTTAGAATCCTATCTGCATGATGGATGATTTTGGGTTAATGAAACTGACGAGGATGTCAGTTATCTAAGCGAGGGAGATTGTGAAACCCTTTAAAAAAATAAAGTTAAATTCTTAAATGTCAAGTCGCCTTTTTGTGTAATGGTTAAAATTTTATTAGAAACTCAGAGTTAAGCATGCTCGTACAAGAGCACTCCTAGGATTGGTGACATGTTAGGAAGATACACCAACAAGACAAAATCATGAGATCATTAGGCCAAAGTGAATAATATCTCAATGGTTGAGAGTTTGGGCTGTAATAGGAATTGTGCTCAGGTTTGGAGAAATACTAAGAGGAAAAAATATTATAAAATAAAAAAGTGAGAAAATGCATGGATGAACAAATATTTGTACCTATCCTATAATTATCTCTGATTGATCATTGATGTAGATCAACTTTTTAACTATATAAATCTCCAATTTTTTGGTAAGTTCTTCCTTCCATATTACTTTTTCCATTCTTGTAACTGTCATTTCTCTCGTGCGCACGTTTTTTTCAACATATATTGATGCTGATAAATGCTCAGTAAAACTCTCAAGTGCACATCAAAATAGATAAAGGACCATGTGCATGAGGCTCTAACCAGTACAGAGTTTGAGGGGTTAATGTACACATCAATCAAGATAAATTTAAAAAACATGAAATGTTTGAATGAGAATTTTGAGCTATTGCTGGCTATGTAAAAGAAAATAAAAAGGTAGTTTAATTTACATAAGAAGAATTTTCACAAAATACAAGAACAAAAATCAAAATCAATGTCAGAGTTAGACAGTCTCAAAGAAACTACTAAGATCACCGGCAAATTTTCATTTCATTCTTTCTCACGCTTATAATTTTCCATTCAAATCCCTTCTCCAAAGGGAAGTAATTTGGTTCTTTTAAACAGAGACTCTAGGGTAATACCCCTGTAGGTTAGTATTCGTTGGAGAACTAAGATTAAAATAGCTCATACCTGAGGTGTTCCAACAAGAGGAACCATTATTTCTGGAAAAACTTTGACACCTTGACTGCTCATAGAGATGGCAGCTTCAAAGATTGCTTGTGCTTGCATTTCAGTCAATTCTGGATAAGATATCCCAAGCCTGGAAACCATATATAGTATCATAATTATATGCAACATTTACAACATTAGTAAACAACACTTTGTATGAGAATAAAACATATGAACGTTCTCTATGAATGTTGAGAATTACTCCGACTTTGACAAAAAATTGATTAAAAAAATTAAAATAAAAGCTTAAAATAGTCCCCCAACTATTAATAAATGTTCAATTTAATCCTAGAGTTTTGTAGTATCCTATTTTAATTTCTTTACTATTAGAAATTGTCCAATTTAATCCTTTGTTAAATTTTCTAATCAAATTAACATAAGAAGACCACAAGCGTTCAATTCTTCGGGATATTTTATTAAAATACTTCTTTACCAAATCCCTTGTCTTCCCACTATAATTTCCTAGAGGAGGAACTAAAGATTGAATGGTGCGGGGAGAAGACCTCCAACTGCGAGCAATGCGACATGCTGTGACATACAAGGATTGTGAGCATGACGACCGACTACTGCAAGTAAAGTGTCGCGCTTGGAGATGACGTGCACGGTCTTCGAGCAAGACACGTGTCGAACTGCAATTAAAAAAAAAAAGAGAAAAGTCATTTACCTACTCTGCCCCGCACGTCATGCACGTTTGCGACCTCTCACGTCGCTGCCCACGTCGCACGATCTCCTGATAAATACGCAGCATCGGAACGCTTTCTGGAATACAATTGGGAGACAATTATGTGAGGCGGTTCTTGCTTTCTTCTCTACTGGCTCTATGCCTAAGCATGCTAAGGCAACTGCTATTGCTCTTATACCTAAAAGGCCTCATGCCCAAGACATATCTGATTACAGACCAATCTCCCTCTGTAACACATTTTACAAGATCATTGCAAAGATCCTTGCAAACAGGTTGAAAGATGTTATGCCTTTGATCATTCACCCTAGTCAAGCTGGTTTCATTAAAGACAGAATTATCTCTGATAATATTCTTTTGGCGGCTGATTTACTCAAAGACTTCAATAGCAAACGCTTTCCGATTATGTACCGAATAATTTCTCCTCCTCGTGACATATTCTCCTCCTCGTGACATCAGAAGGCTGAAAGGAGGGAGGGATTCGACTGCTCTCACTTTTTTCCACGCCCATTCTCTCGCTCTCATCTCTCGCTCTCTCTCGCTGCTTCTCCGAATCCTTCGTTGTTGTTCAACTCGCCTCCGACCTAGGTCGGATTGGAAGCTATGATATCCTGATCGGAATCAACGATTGGAGCTCCGCTCGCTGCGAAGGTGTAGAGACTGCAAGTGTTGCTACCTCGGCTCCTTCATTGGCGTTCGACTTCGGCTCCCTCGACGACTTCCCTTCCGGCCAGATCGGAAGTTGCAACATTTTGATCGAACGGAACGATGGGAGCTTGCTTCTCCGCCTCCCCTCGTAGTCGGACGACCTCGCTCCCCCGACACCGTTCCTTTCTGTCGGCCGAAAGTTACGACATTTTGATCGTAAGCAACAGCGGGAGCTCTGCTCGCTGTGAAGGAAACTTCCTCACAATCGCGAGCTTCTTCCGTCCCGTCGTTACTGTTCAACTTTGCTTCCCCGACGACTTTCCCCTCTTACCCAATCGGAAGCAGACGGGAGCCCGCTCTCTGTGAAGGTAATTTCTCCCTTTCACGTGCTCTCCTTCGGCCAAATCCAGTGAGCTCGCCGAACTACAGAGATAGGAAAGGGAGAGAGTTTACATAATTTTAATTTAAATTAATGTTAGATTAATTTAATTATAAATTAATGTTAATTAATAATTAATCTTAATTAGTTTTAACTTAAAAGTGTTTTAATTAATTATAATTAACTTTATTTAATTATAATTGACTTTATTAAATTATAATTGATCTTAATTAAAGTTAATATTAATTAATTATGATTAATTAGTATTTTTAAAATTAAAGATTAGTTAATATTAATTAATTATGATTAATTAAAGTTATTTATACTTAATTAATTATAATGACTTTTAATTAATTATAATTATAAAAAATAAATAAGTAAATAAATTCCTCTCTTACATCGGCTTGCGTGTCGAGCCGGCAAATCGCTCATACACGATTTTCTCTAGCGTGATGGGAAGGGAACCCGGCACGACACCTACGACGAGGTAGGTGAGCAACCCCTCGGCTCCAAAATCCTGTTTTCGGCATTCGTGGCGCACCGGAAAATCGCCTATACACTCTTTTCTCTAGCGTGCTGAGATGGGAACCCGGTGCGGCTCCTACGGCGCGACCGAGATATTCATAAGTACCCGCTCGCGGGGAAACAACTGCTCTTTTCTTGTAACAAGTACCGAAGATCCATACACGGCTTTCTTTGGTGTGGTGGGGACAAAGATTTCACGGTCGCGGTGTCATCATAAGAGGGCACCTATCGTACACGTATTTCTCTAGCGTGACGGGAGGCCCATTTTTTCGTAGTTTTCCCCTAAGCGGGAGAGACGCCGAGAGGCTGCCAAAATTTTGGGTGGATATACGATCGTACTCGGACCTGTTTGAACTCAAAAAGGACATGCACAAGAACTTGGATTCAAATGAACAATGGAATTGAGGACTTGTACTCGAACAAAATCTAAACGATTAATCAACGTTCAAATCCAAAAAAAATAAAATCAGACTGAAATCAAAATTCAAATCAATTTGAGTATTCAGTTGAACTTGCAATAACTTCAGAAGACTCTGAATAAGCACTTGAACATGTACTTTGAACTCGAATCGGATTGATTACAAGGTACCTATGAACTTGTGCACCTAACTCGGACTCGAGTGAACTCAGACTTGAACTCAATTTGAAAATAAAATGAATTAAACAATACCACTTGAACTTGTACTCTGAATTCAAAATTGGAACAAGATATGGAGAACAAGGAACTCAAATTGAACTCAAGCTGGATCCAAACTTGACATGAACAATAAAGAACTTGAATTTTCAAGATCAACAGGGGACTCAAGGAGCTTGAGATTGAATGGGATGCAAAGAGCTGAACCCATAACAACATACAAGACTAAAGCATGAATTGAATCTCGAACTCGGGTCTAATGGAATACGTAGGACTGGGCTTTGGATGAATGAACAAATCAAAGTCTAAATGCACTGTCGTCCAAGCTAATAACAAGTTGCAAGCGGGAGATGAAATCCCAGTGTACGCGAAAGATGAATGCAATGAACTCCTACAATAGCCCCTACGAGATTAAACGCAATGTGCTCACAAGGACAACAAATAGTTGCATAATGCATATGTCCTCTAAATGCATTGTTGAAACTTCCAACGCTACCAACAAACGCCTGTTGATTGAAGATGGCGACGCTGGAGATCAATAACAGAGGACCCATTGTCGCAAATAAATTATGAATGGCAAAGATGGACACGATACAGATGTAATAGACTCCTACGACAATCCCTATGAGATTGAAATGACAATACTGTCATTCAATAGCGGAAGACCCATCCTTACAAATAAGTACAATCATCAAACCACTTTGAGATTGGTGAAAGATGGATATGATGCAGAAACAATGGATCTTCTACGAATACTTCCAAGAGGTTGTAGTGGATACAACGAGTCCCTGCAAATGAACACGAGCTACTTTTGGATAACAACAATAGGTATATCGTAAGTATAACGAACCCTTGTGGACACAAGTACAGATGTCACCTACGACAACGGTAACCAAGATCTACGACTATGTCGGATAAAAGGGCAACTCAGTGTATGGAGGACACCCCTTGGCAGAAGGGAAAGGATGCTTGAACAAATTAGAACTAAACTTCCTGGTGTTCTAAAATTTTTTCTTAGTCATATACTTAAGAAGAGAACAGCTATGATGTCCACAAACACCGGAAGTAACAAATCTACTACACTAATGATCTTGAAAAGAGTCCCTTTCAAAGCAATGGTCACAAAATCTCAAGAAGAGCCTCCCCGGTGAATAAGAAAAGGGGAGTCAATATTAAAATGATGGAATGCCTCGTGACATCCAAACCATATCGCCATCGGATTTGCAACACTCGCATTGGCAATGATGGAATGCCTCGTGACATCCAAACCATATCGTCATCGGATCTGCAACACTCGCATTGGCGGACAGAATGCGTATATAAGCTCTCAAATGAAATGTTGTGTGCATTTAAATAGTAATTACTTGCACAACTAAAATATTTCAAAGTACCCCTGCACATGCACTATAATCCTGTATACACAGGTATATAAAGGGGTATGTTCAATCAATAAAATTCTCAAATACCCGCATGGGCCCCGATGAGCATGTTATTGATACACACGTGACGTTTATGGATGTTGTGCGGGTTAATGAGTGAATTCAGATTCGAACCGGATCCTCCTATGTGGATATAGGAGTCGACAGGGTTCGAAACATAAAAAAAAATATACAGTTGTAGTGACTGTTATATTTGTTTTAATACATTCATATTAGACCTTCAAGACCTATAATAAAAAAAATTACTAATAAATGCATAAAGCTTACGGAACCTGATCCTTCTATGCGGATAAATAGGAGTCAACATGGTTCGAACTTGGGTTCGAACTTTTAAACTAATACACGGTTGTGGCGATCGGTGTCGGTGTAATTGTTTTAATACGTTCATATTAGGCCTTCAAGGTCTACGAAACCCGATCCCTTATCGGCAAATTGATGGGTTGGACAAGGTTAAAGATTTAAATGGAAATGACCTCAAACACCTCAATTATGCCGTGTTGACAGAAGATCTCAACCGAAAGGGTTCATAAATATTTTTTAAATTTTACCTAAATACTCAAAAGTTCAAAATCCCAATATATATATATATATATAATAAACTCAATCATCAAATACTTAAAGCAAAATTCATCCATCCTCCGCAACAGTTTCCGAGTGGACAATTAAATTTACTTCAGCTTACAAAAAGCTAATGCCTAGTCAAAAATATCACTATGATCCATTCTCAACCAATCTCCTGCCAGTAAGATGTGGTACGTGTCCTCTAATCGTTGATTTTGCCGCCAAATGGCACGCAGGATAAATGGTTATGACCGGAGGCCCTTCTGAACCAAGTGGTTTTGCCGCTAAATGCACCACGAAATACCGGTTTATGGCCAGAGCCAATACCTCCTTAGTGGATCAAATCCTTAAGATATAACCATGGATCTTGATCGGTTCATCATTCATTCCCCCACCATCGCTTTAAGTGCAAGGTGATGAAATTCTACTTTTTTAATATCAAATCTTCCAAACTTTCCAATTTCCACATTTCTATACATATGCTACTACTATATGACAGATAACACGTATCTGAGTAACGACTAGCCTTAATCGAAAGTTCTCTCTTGTGATCGGGAGGGGTAATTAATTATAGGGGCTTGCGCCTATAGGAAACAAAAACTAAGATTATAAAGTCCTCACAAAATAAGGGTGAAATATCTGGGTAGTATCCTAGCTACAAACTCATCTGCCTTCCAAAATTTACCCCGGAACTTCATCAGTTAAAACTCCCTCGTCGAAGAAAAAAGCAAAGTGTCGGGCAGAGGCCGGGGCCGAATTTTCGGAGCCGACAACCCGAGAGGTTACGAGTGAGAGGGCAAGCGACCACAAGCGATATCCAAAGAAGGAGATGACAAGCAATTCATGTCTCATGATAGTTCAAGAAATAGACTGTCATGAGCTACCGCAAGCGATTACCATGCGTTTCAAAACCCAGAGCAGAAGAAAATAGAGCAATGTAAGAAATGTAATCTCATATCCACTTGTAATACCTAAAACGTCCATCATATTTAACTTTGGAGTTAACTTTAAATTTTATTTGAGATTTTGGAACTAAATTGACTCAATTTGTAATAGTCGATGGACTAAAATGGAGCAATGGAAAACTTTGGGACTAAATTTCGATTTATATTTAGCATGAAGAGTAGAAGCTGAAAAAACTATATATATATATATATATATATATATATATAACTTCACAATTAAAAAGTTTATTGTGATGCTTACAGAATAATGCCTCCCAAAAAGATGCAAACACAGAGGGTTTGAACGTCCAATCATAAGGTTGTACGAAATAATTTTAAAAATCCCAGATAAATTAAAGGAGCCTAATTTACAGTATTCTATTGTACAGGAACATTTCTGTTTCCACTAGAATTTAAGATCCAATCGATATAAATAATCACTTGCAATCTGAACATACAATTGCTGATATTACTGGAACAAAATAGGATCTGAATTTAAGCGCACAGGCTCCGCATAGACTGCATAGTTCTATCTCTATGAATATCAAAATCAATTTTCTGATTAAGCAAACCGGCATAAACCACTTAAGATCTAGATAGCTGCTAGAACTATTGGCTAATTAGATAGAGCAATAACCCCAGACTATAGTTTCAACAAGCTAACGAGTGACACTCTTGAGCACCCCCTTCCATGGAGCAGATTTCATAATTCAATTATGACCAAGCTGCTTGGTGCTGGTGCGGCATTATTTAGCTAGCTCCATCTGTATAAACATTTGACCATTTAATCTGCTCTCCTCAAAAAAATTCAAATGGGCCTCAGAGTTTTTATGGCATATATTTGCCTTCCCATAAACTCAAGGAAAATTGATCAATTTGTTCATATTGCATTTGCGGAATACACCCCAACTCTTTAATGGTGTGAACGAAATTTAATCCGTTATTTCGTACTTCATTCGATACTTCATATGTAGGAGACTAGAAGTAATGTTCTAATTTTGTTCTATAGGGGATTCACCAGCAAAACGACATAGCGAACAATTATGAACGAGCTTTTGATGATCCATATTACGTAAAAACGTGTATCCAGTCCACATGCCTCCTTCCAATGCAGTGTCTTGGGAATGTTTAATGACCGCAAAAGAAGGAAATCGCCCTCTATTTAGATCTCATCATTAGGACCGTTAAGTGGGGTTGGCAAGCGGGATAAGACTTCTGAGCAAAATCTTACCAGAAGCATAGTCTGATGATGTTTTATTTTTATTGTATTACTCAAAGATGTTTTAAACATGGTTAACTCAACCGACCTTGGCTCTAACTTTATATAAAGAAAAGAAAGCCAACCAGGATTATCTAGCATGATCCATCCTAACCAGCCAACACATTCATAGCTCATTAAATGACTAGAGTGACAAAATCAAATGAATCCATGATTTGGCTGTAGGTTGCAACTAATATACGATTTTCTGCCTTTGATGATGAAGCGGGTATACCAAAATTATGTGCTAGTGAAGTGTCTAACCTGCATCCACGAAATCCAAGCATGGGATTCACTTCCGAAAGCTTTTCAACTCTGGAGATAATCTCATCTTCGGTCATGCCAGTTTGCAATGTCAATTCATTTACAATGTCTTCAATGTTACCTTCTGGCAGGAACTCATGGAGTGGAGGATCCAACAGACGAATTGTCACTGGAAGTCCTGAAATTTTAGAGAATGTATGCAATTTATTTATTGAACCTGCCATTCTGTGAAAACATTTCAAGGAATAAAAAGTGATTGTGCAATTCCTGTATAATAAGTTTCCTTGAAACTGTATAAGTTTCCATAAGAACGTGCAATGCCTAAAACAGTTAGTATACTCTGACCCAAAAAAAACTTCAAAATTCTTAGGAAACTACAGAAAATCATACGCCTTGCTTATCAATACTATCAAATTTGCAGTTTTTCTTTGGCATGGCTGATGTCAATTAATGGAATACTATCACTTTTGCAAGTACGACACTCATAAATATTGATTGAATTTGCTTCAAGCCAAAATCAATCTCATGAGGATGAAATTACCGTCCATAGCTCGGAAAATGCCTTCAAAATCAGATCTTTGATAAGGCAAAAGCAGGTCCAATGCTTTTTGCCTCAGTTGGGGTGTCACCGCCATTATCATCTGCCTTACAGCCCTTATTCTTTCATCAGAAGCAAAAAACTGAAAAATCAAACGTGCATGACAGAAAAAAGGTGCATGAGAAAGTCTATGTAACAACTTTTGAGAGAGGTCCTTCAAACATTGGTTCTTTTGAAATTACCATATGCTCCGTTCTACAGAGTCCAATTCCTTCGGCACCATTGTTTCGAGCTGTCTGTGCATCTTCAGGTGTATCAGCATTTGCCATAACCTAGCAGAAAATTAAGGTTATGAAATTTTCATAACTTCACAAAAAAAGATAAAAAATCTAACCATCTTTCATATGATCCATTAAATGTATCTTTACGCTCCAAGAAATCATGAAAAGGCAGATTATTGGAAAAGCTCAAAACTTAGGGGTGTGCATTTGTGCTGGTAAGAACCAAAGAACATGCATTATTCAGGTTGAGCATACAGTTAAGTATTATTTGCACTTGAGGTCGGTTCCAATTCCAAGTTTTTATTAGTTAAATCGACTCAATCCTCAATTCTGACGCTTAGTTCACCTGAAATCCAATTCTTTTGTCTAAATAGTTAAATTGTTATTGGTCTATCTTAAATATTTCAACTTGAGTGATGTAGTGGATCGGCGGAAGAAAGAATCTGCTAGTAAACCAAATCAAAAAATAACAGGGAATAACCCAAATAATTTAAAGGAGAATGTATATTTTTCTGTCTCCTTCCTTACACCATTGTTTGTATATATAATGGCAATAGAATATTTTAGAAAGCAAAAAAGCACCCTAGACCTATATTCTAATATAAGTATAATGTTCCACATCATACTCTTGCGTCAGGAGAGCTCTACTCTATCGAGGCACATAATTGATGGCAGGCTTCCGTCAATTTGCCCATAGCACAACCCTGCTCGACATTAGTGGGGTTTGCATAATTCAGCAAAGTATCCTCGTTCATCTTTAAAGCAATTGTGTGAGAAACCCAGTTCAGAATCTTGAAAGTTGTGCTCATTATATGATTCGACGTAGTCGCGTACAGACAAGGTCTTTTGTGCAAGTTTGATGGCAATCTAGAGGTGGGGTCACACGGATGGGTCAGAATCTAGAGGCTGAATGAGCCAGAGCGGAAGCAAGGGTCGCACGAACGGGTTCGGGGTTGCACGGAATGGAAGTGTGGGCTCCGAAAATTCCATTTTGGGTGATCCCGGCCTCTCTGCGCCATCGGTTTATTTTTTCTGTTAAGTGTGACGACGACGGTAGAAAGTTTTAACGAGATTAGGTTCCGGGGGAATTTTCAGAAGGCAGATTTGGTTTTAGATAAGACACTACCCAGAGATTTCGCCCTCATTTGGTGAGGACTTTTTCATCTGAGTTCTGGTTTCCTATAGGCGCAAGCCCCTATAGTTAATTGCCCCTCCTGATAACAAGAGAGAACTTTCGATTAAGGCTAGTCATTCAAGCGTTCACATAGGTTATTTAGAAATTGGAAATTTTGAATTTAGAGTTTATCACCATAAACTTAAAACTGGTGGTGGGGGGAATGAAGACGAGCCCGATCAAGATCCCATGGTTCCGTCGTCCTGGGCTGTCATGATCCCTGGTCTACTTAGTCAGAGGAGGTAGTCGACCCAACCTGACCGAAGGCATCGTATCGGTAGCCATGGGTTGCTTCGTCCAAGAATACCTTGTAGACCTGGGTTGATGTTTGTCTAAGGGGAGGATATATTCGAATCCATCTTAGCTGACATAGGGCTTTATGCCTATCGAATATACCCTATGATCCATCGCTCAAGGGTTTGACGCCTTTAGGGAACATACGGGCTTTGACCGTGATCGTAATATAATTGTGCCATTTTGCGGCGAAACCACCCGATCAGAGGGCACATGCCACGTTCTTGTTGGCAAGAGCTATTTGAGGATGAATCGTAGTGATACACCCGACACACGTTCGCTCTTTGTGAGCTGAGGTTAATTTCAAATTTGTCACCCCCGACAAACGGTTGCGGGATCTGGTTGATTTTTTAGTTTCACTTTTAAGGTGATATATTTTATTTCAAGAATTTTGTCTTTTGTTTGATTTGAGATTTGACACCTCCGATTGAGATTTTTTGTCAACGCGGTCATCATCAGGGTGATTTCAAAGTCACTTGTATTCTCGTAGGATTTTTGGGAGGCATTTTGTAATTCAAGTCATGTCAACTCCGGTCCTTTCAGGGGGGAGGATGAAACTTGAATATTTGGCCCGCGTAGCATTCTCGAATTGTTGAATTTGGGATTTATATGTGACGATCAGAGCACATGCGGGTTGTAGCATTTGACCCTGCGCAGCATTCTCGGTCATTGGTGTTTATGCTTTTAACATATTGATCGGAGCAAATGCAGGAATGAATTTAGTTCAAGTGATCATATTTTAATATATAAGGGGCATTTTAAAATATTTAAATATGATCAAATTATGAGAGTGATTTTTATTTAGAAAATGCCCAAGATTTCACTTAAGGGCCTACGAACGCCTTCTGTCCGCTTGCACACATGTTGTGGATCCGGTGGTGTTGGTTTTGACAAAGTTAATTACAGTTCTGATAGACTGCAACACTACATCAGAGATTAAAATGTTTTTTATGAAACCAACATGACCTCTCATGGTTTTAAAGTTGATATCAATATTTGAGTTGTAAATTTGAAGATGATTGGCTTGGACGTCTGAGATTCCTCCAGGCATTTCACTACCAAATGTAAGGGCACACCCAAAAAATGAATTGGAGGAAAACATTGGTAAAATGGATATTTGGATGAGGTTTTAGAGAAGTAAATCCCATACTCATCCCATCCACTCTTAAGGGTGATTGCATCATGACCCACAGTGATTCTACTGTCCTTAATGCACATATCTGAGCATGAATTTGGAACTATACCATTTATGAATGGTGAATCTGATAGAGTATTAATTATTACAACTTGAACCATTAAATTGCTACATGAACACACTAATCCTTGGCCATCTATGGTTTCATTATCCCCTTTTTCATGGAAGTTCAATTCCATTACCATATGATGGTAAAAGATCTGCTAAAGGTCATGGCATTTAAGAGAACAACTGATGAGTATTATCTTATTATATTGCAATAGAAAAATTCCAAAATCATTGGAAATATTAATCATTTCCGATGATCATCATAACTTCATTGCCATTTATTATAAAATTAGAGAAGTTAGAACCCTTCAATCTATCAATTCTCTAACTTAACTAAGGAGCCATATTCTTGATCAAGATCTTTATATTACTAATATAAGTCTATTAAAATTTCACTACTGATCACTCGAGAATATATCTTCCTTCAATAATTTAGTTTCAAACATTTTGCAATGTGATGTCATTTTATCAATTAATTATTCAAGAACTTTTAAACCAATGTTAATTTAAAATTTTGAATATTTGATAAGATAATCAAATATCAATATAATCTATTTGAACCTCAATAGAAATCAGTATCATTTATGATTTGATAGTGGCTCAAATATATTAGTTATTTCTTGGAGTGCGAGATCTTGGTTAAAAGCTTATTTTGTATATATCACATATCAATTTAATTTTAAATCAAGTTCATATTTGAGTCCATTTTGAATGTAGGTCAAACATTTTTTTTTTCAAATTTTATTTAAAATTCATTTTAAATTTGAATTATGTTCAAATCAATTTTCAATTTTTTTTAGTCCAAGTCCTTTGTTGTTCACTGAAAATTTCAGCAACGACTCAATCCTCAATTCTGACGCTTAGTTCACCTGAAATCCAATTCTTTTGTCTAAATAGTTAAATTGTTATTGGTCTATCTTAAATATTTCAACTTGCATGATGTAGTAGATCGGCGGAAGAAAGAATTTGCTAGTAAACCAAATCAAAAAATAACAGGGAATAACCCAAATAATTTAAAAGAGAATGTATATTTTTGTCTCCATCCTTACACCATTGTTTGTATATATAATGGCAATAGAATATTTTAGAAAGCAAAAAGGCACACTAGACCTATATTCTAATATAACTATAATGTTCCACATCATACTCTTGCGTCAGAAGAGCTCTACTCTATCGAGGCACGTCATTGATGGCAGGCTTCCGTCAATTTGCCCATAGCACAACCCTACTCGACATTAGTGGGGTTTGCATAATTCAGCAAAGTATCCTCGTTCATCTTTAAAGCAATTGTGTGAGAAACCCAGTTCAGAATCTTGAAAGCTGTGCTCATTATATGATTCGACATAGTCGAGTACAGACAAGGTCTTTTGTGCAGGTTTGATGGCAATCTAGAGGTGGGGTCGCACTGATGGGTCAGAATCTAGAGGCTGAATGAGCCAGAGCGGGAGCAAGGGTCGCACGAACGGGTTCGGGGTCACACGGAATGGAAGCGGGGCTCTGGTCGAATTCTTGTGTGAGACGGAAGGACATAAGGTTTGGGGGAGTAGCGGCAGGCGGATTGCAGGTCTAGTCGCAAGAAAAAACTGAGCCGGAATTGAAGTTGTGTGTTCAACAATAGCAGCTGCAGTTTCTTCGTTGGTTTCATCGTGTTTGTCTCTCTTAGCAGGAACAACCAAATCTTGTTCGATTCTACTTTGCAAATCAAAGTCCTCCTCGAAGGGTTCTAGATCGTGGGAGCGGACTGGGAGCAGGAGCAGCATCGGAGTGTGGGATGGGGCGTGCGCTGTTGCAGGAGCAGTCTAATCGAGATGTGTGGGCATTATCGTTGGTCGGTGGTCAGGTAGGGGATCGCGCCATCAGAGTGGAAGTTGAAGCGGGGTCGATCGCATGGAGAGAAGCGAAGGCACTAGTATAATTGCCGATGTTCTTCGTATTCTCTCTAAGGAATGACCGAAATTATACAATAAATCATCTATTTGATCAATTGAGGCATCCACTTGAGCTACCTAAAGGGCTTTATGACGTCAATGGTCGTCAACCACCCATCTTCTTCGGCGTTGATCGTCGTCGACCTCCCATCTTCTTCAGCGTTGGTCTTCGTCGATCGCCCATTTTCTTCGGCTTCGGTCATCGTCAACAGCACGTCTTCTTTGGCAGTCTGTCATTCTTCACAATTGTCATCGACAGCCCGTCTTCTTTGGCAGTCTGTCATTCTTCACGATCAATCAGGTGCATCGAGGAAAACGACTACATATATGTCACTTATCATGAGCATTGGGACACCTCAATCGATATCAAAAAGGCTCAAAACTTGCCTAATTGTGAAATAGATCACACTGA